TAGTTGTATTAACCATATATGTAAACAGAGTTTCATGGGGCCCCCAGGAACTTGGGGCCCTAGGCACCTGCCCCCCCATAGGTACACAGCAAAGCAGGATGATCAAAACAAGCATGTTTCACAATCATTTGAATTAATTCATGATATAGAACATCAACTAAAACCTGATTTCTTTTTTTTTTCTCTCAGTTGAATGAATATAGTTTTGTGAGGAGCTGTTATGGAGGCAGTGCACCTGAGTGGAAATGAGGCTGCTGGCCCTTTAAAAGCTAAGATGGTGTCCTGCAAGCTGCAGAAGCTGCTTTCCGTTTCCTTCCTGCCTCACTGACACCTCAGAGCATTAAACCTGAACAACAATCTGACAGAAAGATGCAGGAGCTCCAGTCCTGCAGCCTGGAAATGACAGAATGCGATCAGGTCGCAGTCAGAAAGACTCTTCCGCTGATTGCAGAATGAAAGCAACTGCAGAAAGGATGCATTCACTGACATGTCAGCAATGAGACACAGCTTAGGCTCTGCTGCTGCTGCTGCAGACACACCATCCCCTGACAGGCAATAAGGTGCACTTACTTTCTTGTTACGGGTCTCCGTGTGCATCTCGGTTGCCGGAGCGGTGCGGCGGCGGAGGGGTGGAGCAGCAGAAGCAGGTGGGGGTCGGTCGGGGCTTTGGGTGGAGCACTATGGAGCTGTCAGAGGGGAGACTTATTGGGGCGGTGCTGCTTTTTCCACCTTTACTGTGAATTTTCTGTTTATATCCGCAGCAGCGTCGACGGCTTCATCCCCCACCCCCCCAAGAAGAACTGAGGCCGGTGGAGCTTTGTGCGTCTCTCCCTCCCTCTCTGTGAGGCGGCTGCTTGTGTTGAAGGGCTGGGCTCTCTCTCTCTGCCTTTTCCTCCTCCGCCTCTCCCTGCCTGTGACCCCACCCTGCGTCCCCACCCCTCATCTCTCTGTCAGTCAGCAGAGCTGCAGCCTGCAGAGGAGCGGAGCCCACTGTGCACCGGGGGGGGGGGAATCTCCCTCTAATGCAAAGAGGACAGGATGATGCCTGCAATCTGCAGCTCATGCATCCCCTTTAATAGCGTGCAGCGCCATGTCACCTTGCTGACGTCATGCAGGGAGTTAATTGAGGCCGCTGATGGGTGCGGAGGGTGGGGATGTATCCCATAAGGCTTTGCAAGCCTCACCTTTAACAGATATAATAGTAATAGAATGGAAAAAATAAATATATATTGATAAAATGAGACATGCTTTCAACCCAAATATACGGAGGAGGATTAGGGTCACTGAAAAAATAATAAAGTTAACTGATTTTTAAATATTATTTCAATTTAATATGGAGAAAAAGTCAGAATTCTTACTTATTTTTTAAAAATTCTGACTTTTTTCTCTCTTAAAAACACAAAATATGTAATAATTTCATATTTAAAGTAATTTCAAAAGTTTGAATTCTGAATGTGAGCAGACTTTACCTTTAAAGATTAAAGCTGTGAAAATTCTTGTAAAACAATGTTTCACAACAAACCATGAAATAATAACCAGCTAAATGTTTGTAGCTGGTGGTGTTACGCGGTCGGCAAGTTAATTAGTTATTGGTAAACATCCAAAAACTAAAAGCAATGGACTGATGTCACCCTGAGCTACGGAAGCCCAAGAGGTTCACTGGTGGAAAAAAAAACAGATTTCCCTAAAATAAAAAACCTTCATTAAAAGAAAATCCAATTTATACATTTCTTGGATTAAGCCCTAGTTTAAATAATCTGATCTACTGACTTTGACATAAGTCAAAATCAATGCTGCAATGAGCAGCTGCTGAGATTTTTCTTTTTCATTTCACTAAAAACTGGATACCTACATATGATTTTACATGATTAATACAATTAAAAATAATGTTTTTTCTTGTTTAATTGCTTAATGAATTATGTACAGTTCATGCAACAGTGTTTAGAAAGAATGTCTAAAATAAATGACTGGTTTGTTCCTTTTGGTCCTCGATAGCAGCACGTCTAATGAAACGGCTTATTGGCACACCCTCTACAGATAGGTGCGGCACCTCTAAGGATTTTTTCCATCTTTATTTCCTTGTAAAAACTTTTCCACAACAGGAAAGAACAAACGCAGGCTTGTTACGACGAATTTTGATTTTCAAATAGAGCTTCACATCATTTTACCAACAGAGACACAAAAAAAATAATCCAATAAGACATCTCTGTGTATTTAATCAGAAAAGTCAAATCTGTTTTATATCTTATCCTTTTAATCTGCACCAACTTTTTTTCATAAACCAGATGTCAAGAGAGTTTATATCAGCTCTAGTTAAGGTTGTTTTGGTTTCTGTACTTTATTTAAGGCTTTATTTTTCTAAGGACTTTTTACTTTTACTCTCCATATTTGAAGGTGCATATCTGTAATGTTCTTACTTTCTCTAAACTGGCTTGATGCTGCTGTGTTTGTTGACGATGAGACGATATAAGAGCCACAACTAAACAGAAGGGAATGAAAATAGAGAATATCCACCGTTGGAGTCCAGTTTGTTTATAAAACAAAACCTTAAAGATGATGGATCAGATATGAGACGCTTTCCTGATCCATTTCCCTCTTTATCAGATTTTAAATTTACCTGTTTATTAATTTTCAATTTCTGCTTACATTTTTTATTGCTGTTTGCTAATTTAATGCTGTAAAAATGCAAAGCTCTAAAAAGTATTCAGCTGCTAAAGTAGGATTCCTGTTCAGCTCAGTCTATATTATCCTGTGTTCATTTTAAATTCGCTAAAAAAATCTAAACCAAGTCATTATTTTCTATGTTCTTTTTTCCGACGCAGAGAAAAAAAATGGGAAAGTTAACTTTTTTCTCTGTGTGAAACTGTTTAAACAAGAAAAGAGGTTTTAAAAGTTGTTTTTTTGTATAATTTAAGGCAAATGGTCATGTTACTTACTGTACTGTTACATTTCTTTTGGTAAAATAGTTACCAAGGTCTTTTGTTTTTTTTTTTTACACTCAAATAAACCTTTGCTTGAACTAAATTGAGCCACTTTTCCCATCATCCTTGTTATCGGATTCAGAAATCATAAACTTTCTGTTAAACTTTATTTATATAACAAACCGATAGTGCACAAAGCACAGATACATAAACAATAAGGCCAATGAATAAATAAAGAGCAAGATTTAAAACAAAAGAAGAGTAAAAATACTGGCAGTTACTTTTTTGTCAGAAAAAGATTTTAAATGTTTCAATGAGGTGTAATACAATTTAAATTAAGAATAAATTCAAAACAAGGAGTAGAACCTCTCCATTGACAGCAATGTATGTGATCGGAAATCATAAACAGGAAGCATGCGAAAAAGCTTTCTATTTCAGAAATATATATATATATATATATATATATATATATATATATATATATATATATATATATATATTAAAAGCCTTACCTTTGCGCAAACTGGTCTTGGTCCTCTAGTTGTCATGGAGATAGCAGTTAGTTGTTTCTTCGTTTTTAAACTTTTTATTTGAACATAGATGTAGTTTAACCAGACACTGCTGTGTCTGCGGAGGTTATATATGTGACGTAAAAGTCAGGAACCTAATAGAAATACTAGTTTTTCCCCTCTAACGTGTGTCCTAATAATATAATTAAATTGAACTACATTTCCCATCATCCCTTGTTACCGGATACGGAAATCTTAAACGGGAAGGATGCGGAGGTAAACAAAGCTTTCTATGTCAGAAAAATACAAGATTTTTGGGTTTTTTTATGAGTTTTTACAGCCTTACTGGGAAACGCTTTGTTTTCTTTTCATTTTAAATAAAAAGATTTATATCTATATATAGAAATATAGCCGAAGCTTTGCTCAGTTTGGTCTTGGTGCTCTAGTTGTCATGGAGATAGCGGTTAGCAGTTTAGTGTTTCATCGTTTTTAACCTTTTTAATTGAACATAGGTGAAGTTTTATCAGACATTGCTGTGTCTGATATTAGCGCAAACCTTCTGGAGGTTTTATATGTGACTTAAAAGTCGGGAACCAAATAGAAATACAGTTTTTCCCTCTAACGTGTGTCCTAATGTCAGGGAGCTAATCTAAACAGTTG